AAAGTTACTCGAGGCCTGGCACTTCAGCACACTGCATGCACGCCGCGTGCGCACTGGCAGCACACTGGCATACACCGGCCCTTGTTGAAGGTGTGGTGCTACCATGTCTGCTCCTGCCTGTCCCTTACTTTCAAATCCGCTTCTTTTCGAAAGGCCCGAGTCACTTTGTCTGCCCAGGCCCTGTCGAACGCGGGCCCGCCGCCTGCTGCCAGAAGCCCTGCAAGGCGACTGGCAGAGGGCGCTTTTTTTGTCTCGACTGTGAGTGCGTGGGGGACGCAACGCGGCAACATGTCGCAGGCTTGGTATCGCAGCTGCAGCTCCTGTGGGCAGCTCGTGGACAGCTCTTGGTTTGAGACTGCCTCGCTGCACTGGCTTGCGGCCCAGGGCGTTGCCAACCTTGGTTTGCCCCTTTCTCCGAAGTCAAAGACTTGCTCGGGTAGCTCGACCCTTGCGCCGCTCCCTCAGCAAGATTACGTACTCTTCGTTGCTGCAGTGATGTTCAGTTGCGAGCAGAAGAGTAGAAGAGCTAGTTGAGGTGTGGCATTTCCTGACTGGCAGCCCTTGTGTCAGCTCTGCATGTCTTGCATCTTGGGCACGCAGCTCAGATGGCAGCTTGCAGGTCGCGCTCGTGCTCGCTTGTGCAGGGACATGCCTCGCCGCACCCGAGGCCTGCAACTTCGCCACAAAGCTTCGCGAAGCTGGAGGCAGTGGCGCCCGTGCGCCCCCCGGCCCTGGCGGGCCCTGGCGCTGTTGCCCTAAAACCGTTGAGTTCTGTGGCGCACAGGTATTCCGAGCCTCCTCACCCGACTCACCGTTGCCTTTGCGAGCCATGGCTTGGCCCGGCCCTCAGATGCTCCGTATCCACAATGACAATGCGAGCGTTGCGAGCAGATGCGAGCAGATGCGAGCAGGCTCGGTCCAGTGGCATCGGCGTCCAGCATGGCGAGCTCTGGCTCTCCATCGGCTGCAGTGGACTCCTTGCAGCCAGGACCCAAGCGAGAGAAACCATTCGAGAAACACGGGTGATCTCAGCATCTCAGCATTAGCCGTAGCCCCGCTGCTCTGATCTAAGTCTTGGCTCCCCGCTGCTGCTACAGTCATTCCTTCGATGCGGTGCCCCGGTTCTGGCCCAGCCCTCATTCGAAGCTCCGCACTCACCCAAGACGTCCAAAGACCTCCCAAGACCCCCAGTTCATGGCCTGAGAGGCTTTGTGCTTTGCGCATGTGGACTTGGCGCTGCCGCCTCGCAATCTCGCTCAAGCTGGGCCCGTGCCTTGTTGCTCTTAAGACGATGCACTGCTGCACGGCTTTCTGTATCCATGTTCTCTCAGAGGCCACTGGTGTTGCTTCCTGGCTTGTGCCGGCTTGGTCCTCCTGCCACAGCGCGTGGCTCGGGATTTTCTCTGGCTCAGGGCTCAGCTCAGTTGACTGAGCCTCACCGGCTTTTTTCAGGTCCCTGGCCTGGCAAGCTTGGACGCCTCCCTGTTCCTGCACAGTTCTTTGCACTTGGATTTGGTGCTGGCTGTGCTGCTGGCTTAGAGGCTGCGCCGCGTGTGGAGGGTGGGCTGCTGACAACGCACTGAGCCGCATAAAAGAGGCCAAAGAAGAAGCGTCGCTGAGGCCCGACTCCCTGCACCCAGACGCGCCTCCCCTTCCTCGAAGCTTGGCGCAGCTTGGCGCGCCGCCGTTGCCGTCCCGGACTCACTTGAGAGAGACTGCGCGCGACGGAGCGCATCTGGAGGCTCAAGTTTTGGCGCATCTCTTGCTCCCATGGTGAGGTCCAGAACTTCTCAGTTGGACAGTTTTCTATCAGTGCCGGATTCTGTCAACCCTGGCCGGCATCTTACAAAGCTCGCAAGCGCTGGCAAGACATGGCTAGACGGCTAGACTGTAGCCAGATGCGTGCCGAAGGCCCTCCTCTTTCCATCCGTGGAAGCCTGAAGCAGGGAGGCTAGACTCTCGGAGATGAGACCTGAAGCCGCCAGAAGCTGTTTAGGTTTCCCTAGATTTCTGTGAGTTCTTTGCATGTTTTTGTGCAGCACGTGAGGTGCAGCGCAGAGTCAAGATTTGAACATCGGCGGCTTCTGCATTGTTGGCAGCTATTTCTCGGTGACAGGTGGGCGTCCCAACTCGCAAGTTGAACGAAGGTGTTTATTCAGGGACCAATGCACCCGCGCGGGTGCATCAAAGCAGTGTGCAAGCCAAGAGTGACTTCGCGTTTTTTGGGCAGTCTTCTCGCGGAAGGCTACACAAATCTGGGCTTCTTCATGCCCCCCCAATCCTTCTCCAGGCAAGGAGAGTTGGCTGGTGTGCTCTCTCTGTCTCTCCACTTGGCTCTCTCCCTTCTCACTCATTGCGAGAAGATGCAAACGGACGGAGGTTGTTGCGAACCGTCTCTCAGGCCCAGCCCACCACTACCGGCACCCGGGTTTTCCGGCACGGCCTCATCTCCGCTGCTTCAAAGCCAGGGCCCTGGGTTTTGGCCCTGTTCTGACCCTACCCAAAAGCCAGAAAGGTGTCCACCGTTGCTCTTCTTTTTGTTCTTTTGTTTTGTGTTCCTTCCTGCTATTGAGGTTGCATTCTTTAAAGAGGAGGGAAAGACAGGGAGACGGTGTGGGGGCTCTGAGGCCCTGCACGACTTGGCACGTCGGCATTGACTTCGAGAAAGGCGGCGGAACGGAGAGTTTTGCTCGGATCCGAGAGGAGATTTGCAAGAACCCGCTTTCGCGTAAGGTGCAGGCAGAGCCCCCGCTCTCTGCTCTTGACTGCACCCTCTTGGGTCCGTCCGCGACGCTGCGAAGCTGTTGCAGGAGAGTCCTCTGTGCACGGAGAACTAAGCCACGGCGCCCTTTGCACTGCCTTGGGAGGCCAGATTCTCTGATACTTGTGCCGGCTGGAGACCCAGTTAAAGCCAAGAAAGCGCAGCCCGGAGCTGTGGCTGCCAGAGGGAGATGGAGAGAGAGAAGAAGAGAGAAGAAGCGAGAGAGAGGGAGAACAAATGCTCTGCAGATGTGTGAGGACATGTCATGTACGGAGTCGGCTGCGCCGCTTCGAAGCCTCGCAAGGTGCAGCTGTTCTGCCCTGCGCACTCTTGAAGAGGGCGTGTTTCGTGAGTTTCGTGGTTTTATAGAGGGTTTTGCGATTATGGTCCCTTCCGTGTTTCGCAGACCTGGCCCGATGCCGGCGATGACTGCAGAGGGCTCAGCAGAGCTCAGAGGAGTGTTGGAGGAGATTCAGACTGATTAAGACTGATTAAGACTTGAATAAGATGGGTGTGGGTTTGTGTATGTTGCTAGCAGTGTTGAGTTTTTTGAGAGAAGGAGGAGTCTTTGGCAGGACAGTGAAGATTGTTGAATTCGATCATCCCCAGCTGTAGTGATGTGGGAGCCATCCTCTGCCGTTCTCAGACAGGCAATTATACTTCGCTTTCCTTCACTTCTGTCGCGGGGGCTGATCGGGATTCGTTGGGCAAAGAAAACCTGAGAATACGTAGAGAGGAAGCATAGCAGAGCCCCATCGCGCATATTGAGCTATAAGGTTTACTTGCAAAGCTTGTAAATGCGTCTAGAGACGCCCTTTCCAGGTTTGTCTTTCTGGGGATCTCGACCACTTCCGACCGAATTCCAAAAAGATTAGTGCTAGACAGGTTTGTGAGCCCGGCTGTCTCAGTCGCTGAGTTAAACTCAGTCAAACCATCTCAAAGGAGTTTGTTTTTTTCGCAACCTCCTCGTCTTGAGGGTCAAACCGAACTTGGCAGTAGGCGGGGGGGGGACTTTTGGCCTGATATCTCAAGGATTCAAGGTCACACAAGAGCGGCGATTCAGCTCAGGCTCCTGGATGCTAAGTTCGGCTGGATTTGCATATAAGATCTCTTGGGTTAGTGTCTTGAAACAAGATCCCATCCCTGCGATGCCTGATTTTTCACTGCTCGTGTCACCTGGAGAGATGCTGACGATTTGTTTCTTGGGTGTGAATATGTGTGAATTGCATGAGCCCTGCGGTCTTGAGAGTTGCGCCTGAGTTTTCGGGCACCTGGCCTTGGCCTCTCGGCCCAAGGGCTCAAGGGGCCGAGAGCGGGAGATTCCCCAAAGCCGGAGAGCACATAACGGTGTCTGTCGCTCTCTCAAAAACCACATCTCAGAGAAATCCGGGAGTAACACACACAACTCCCCATGTTTATCAAAGGAAGAAGAGGGGGGAGAAGGCTCTCGAACCTTTTCTGAAAGAAAGCCTACAGGAAGCCGGGGAGACGAGGCGAGCACACGGGCACGGGGAGTGATCCCAAGGGATTCTCAAGGCGCCCCGCCTTGTTCTTGTTTGGGAGCGCAGCGTTTAAGTCACGCTGTTTAAGACCGTCTCTGTGAGACACAGTCACTGACACAGTTTCTGAGTCCGCCGGAGGAAGTTTTCTTGCCCCCCCTCTCTCTCTCTCTCTCTCTCTCTCTCTCTCTCTCTCTCTCTCTCTCTCTTCTCTGCCGAAGTCTCTTGTTCTCTCCGAATTGCCTGACTCTGCTCTGAGGGCTTCGGGAACCCGGGGTTCCCGCTTTTGCCAAAGACGGCCGCGCGGACGGGCCTCGCTCCTTCGGTGCCCGGAAGCCCAGAGGTCCGTTTTGTCAGCTGACCAAAAAAAACAGAAAGCAAAAGGGAGACAAGGGAGAGTCGTTCAAAGTGCGCAACAAGAGAGGAGGAAAAGAGAGAGTGAGAGAGCGCGAGAGAGAGCAAGAGCGGATCTGCATGTTGTGCTGCAAGTTTGCCGCTTTGCTCTCAGGTGCCGTGCTGCACGATTGGCCCTGTCTTCACTGGTGATTGACTTTCTACATCTCGAGACACAGCCTCAGCGGAAACAAAAGCAAAGCAGGCTGCTTCATTCGTGAACTGCTAGCGGCTGCCAGCGGCCTCGTTAGCTGTTTTGCTGTTTTTCCTGCTTTTGCGGTTGTAGCAGTTCTTGGGCTCTCCCCTTGGTTCCGCCTTGCTCGCACTCTTTGCCGAGGTTGGCAACAATGCTGCGGAGCTCTGCCAGGTTAGAAGCTCTTCTACCTGTGCCCTCCAAATATCCGTTTGCTTTGGCACCAGTTTTGCAGAGTCGTGCTGCTGCTTGCCTATGCAAGGTGGATGCTGCGCGCACTCATGCATGCTGCACATCCCGTACCTTGTCCTGTATCTTTTTGTAGGCTCTCGTAGAGTGCACACGTGCTTACCGGCAGTCTGACTCTCGGCCGCCATGTCAACCGCTAAAGAGGTCTCTGTTTCCGGGAACACGGGAACCACCGGGAACCATGCGTTTCGACATAGTTGATGTGCCGCCCAGTCCCGTAGGCCCCGAACCTTGGCTTTTTGTCTGAGACTGGACAAAGGGGGGGCATCTTTGACATCTCCGAGACTTCTTGAGTCGGAAGCTCGAACACACAGAACCCTCCAACCCCGGCAAACCTCCAACAACCCATGAAGCAGGCGCATGAGACCGAGAAGCACCAAGAAGAAGGGCATGTCCACAGCCAGGAAGAAGTGCCAAAGCGAGTGCCGAAAGGACCGCTGCTCCTTCGTCGCAGAGCTCCTGATGGCTGGACATCATGGGCGAGTGTTAGACGAAATGACTAGAGGGGTGCAAACCATCCCTGAGATGATGTTGGGACCTTTCTAGCTGCCGTTTGCAGTGTGAACACGTGACATCCAAAGCTGCGCTCTGAATCTAAGCCCCCAGATCACTGTAAACCCCAAACTGCGAGCCGGATGTGTGCCAATAGGAACCCAGGAGACCAGTGTTTAGAGGTGATCCCGGGTCTACGCCTGGAGTAGCTGAGAAAGCCGACCAGCGGAATGGCATTCAAGGAGGAGAGCAGCGGCAGATGTGGAAAGGCCAGCCAGTACATGTAAAAAGAAAAGCCGAGGGCGCATTGTCGGGTGAATGAGGCGAAGTATGCGAAATCTCCAACATGCCCGCCGGACCTGCCGGACCTCGTCCTCAAATCCGTGGTTTGCGAGCACGGCCCTTCGGCTCAAGCGAGCCAGCGAAGATCGTCACTGCTCCAGCTGAAAATTTCGAGCTTTTGTATGCTCGAGCGGCAGCTGACTGTGCAGCTTGAGAACAACAGTTCTCGCGGAACAGCAGAGATTGCTACGAGGGTTGGTATGGTGCTACTGCCTTTGCTGATGGGCTTCTCCCCGGTGGTTTCGCCATCCATGCTCCATTGTCAGCGGCAGCTTTCCTGTCTGCCTGCTTCCCTTCGATTGCACTGAGCCTCTTCGGCAAGGATGCCGTTGATGCCGTCAGAAAGCTTTTGAGGAGGAAGTATGTTTTCCTGATCCCATCTGGCGTGGCAACAGCCGAAAAGACGATCGTCGAAGCCAGTGCCGTTAAAGTCGCGGGCCTGACCTTGGTTAAAGTCATCATGAAGACTGGCATTCTGCACAACCTTTGGATGTGCCTTGCATCACACATGAAGCACATGTGACATGTGGCGGTACCGCTTTGGCGGCATGTTAGGCAATGGTTCTTGCTGCTTCAGAGCTCTCTGGGTCAAGTAGTATCCAGACATGGATGCACAACACGAATGTGCACAATTGCGCAGGCGCCACACCCTTGGCTTGCGTGCGCGGACTGAGTCCTTGCAGATTCTCACTCTTTTGGCGAACCCATGTAGCATACTGGGTGGTTTCAGTCGTGTTAGGACAACGGTTGTAGAGACCCTTGACATGGAGACCACACCGAAAAATCCCGGAACAATGGAACATGACATACCAAGCAAGCCCTCACCAAGAGCAGAACGTGTGTGCTGTGTGTGTATTCACAAGGCTTATGACTCAAACCCTCGCAGGGACGCTGCGCCCACATGTGTAGCATGTGTAGGGGAAAGACTGGTGTGGGAGTGGCAAATCTTACGAGAAGGCATCACTTGCGGCTGGACTGTGCCTCTTGAGGTCCTCGTGATCACTGCTGGAGCTTTGGCTACCACTGTTGCAGCTTCGATGGATGCTATCGTTATGCGATTACTGCAACTCTGCTGGCTGAAGATTCTGTGCGCTCGCCGTGCTGATCCTCTCGGCCCTGCTTTGCAATGCGGTCATGTGTGCGCTCTACGGCGCTGCCCTCTTGACAAAGGAGAAGAGCGCAGCTGCAGACATGAGAAGCGAGATTCGCAAGATTCTCTCGGACTAAAGCTCATTAACATTGGCCAGCTTCTAGTCCTCAGTGATGCCCTTCAGTCTTGGCCCGGTTCACGTATCTGTCTCACCCATCCAGGATTGAGCGCGTTTTCCATTAGCAGTACTTGCCCGCCGGCTGGTGCCCCACAATTCCCCCTGCGCAACCCATCACGAATCGTGTCTTGGTTGAATGTCCTATAGTCGCTTGAGATGAGGGTGTCTTTCCCAAATTTTCCATGCGGCAGGCGGACTTGTTTGCATAGCGGTTAAATGCTCTTCCTGGACATAGTATCCTAGTACCAATCGATTTTGGCTGCGCAGACCACACTCAGTTTGGGCTTGGCCTCCGGCCGAGGGGCCATTATCATGCACATGGCACGCAGTCGACATATTCCCAACATGCTTGCATGCTTCGTGGCTCCCGCATGTGCTAACCGGGCAGCCATGACGACCTTGTCACAAGACTCTGGTTGGCCACCGTAGATACAAATCGCTGGTGGTGTGAAGTGGTGTGAAGTGCTTTGCGCGTTGCACGCTTGCAAAAAGCGCTTTGCCCAGCTTATGGCTTGCTTCGCTTGCTCTCTCTGCTGTGCTTGTTTTTGCCACTTCCCTCGCTGCGCATTCTTAGAAAACATGGAGGGTGAAGCACCACAGCTTATTAGGACATTACGCAGGTGCTGATATAGATATAGGAACATACGCGCTCCTACTACTGCCGCTTTCTTGTTTTGAGAGGCGAGGTGACCCTTGCTATGATTTTCGTATAATGTCCGTAAAGGAGACTGTTGCTCCGGGCCCAAACTGCCATCAACTCCAGGAGATGTGGTTAGGACCGCTTAGGATCGCTCTGAGACGTTTGTGGGGTTTTGAGGCCCCCACCAGAACTCCTGTGCGGCTGCAGTCAGCTCGAGATTGGTGGTCTGGGCTGCGCGTGTTCTCCTCAAGCACGTAGACCCCTTGGGGGGGGTTAGGCAGGGGGGTTGTATCGAGCAGTTCCGGCTTTTATGCTTATTCCGAGCCTAAACTGAAAAATTCAGCTAACTTTGGAAGGTGATTGATGGGATTTGCAACTTTTTCCGATACCACAGTATACTGTACCCAAGTAAAGTCTGCGATAGGTTACTAACGCCATCGTGCACTGCACTATACTCTACTTCGAGTAGGTCTTCCATAGCAGACCGCGGACTTACTCGCTTATGACTTTTGTTATCGCTTGTGACTTTTTCTAGTTTCTCGCTTGTGACTTTTGAAAAAAGTTGGTTCTGACTTGTGACTTTTTTGCGCACAGGGGCTCGAAACACTGCAAAACACAGTTTGCTACCAGCTGCTAGCACGTTCATCTTCATTTTGTTGTGTCCTTGTTCTGTTGTTCTCCCTTGGTCCGCTTTCCCGTTGGATGGTCGTGCGCTTGCCGAGTCGTCTCCCTTAGGCTCCCTTCCTGTTGGGACGGGGTGCCGGGCTTCCATCACCAGTGTCTTCACTTGTCTCCCTTTTGTCTCCCTTCATGTTGGATCTGGATAGGGTTTGATAGGGTCTTGACGTTGAGCGGGTCCAAACAGTTTTTTTTCGGGGTTCTGCGCTCAGTCTCAAGGGACTCCTCCCACACCTCGCTGTTGTTGAGCACCGCGTGGAACACGCTATTATCAACCCCCCCCCCCACCCCACACCCCACTGTTGTCGAGAAGCACGTCCTTTCCACCCCCCTCTTGTCGAGCAGCACATGGAATGTTGTTGGGGGGCATGTGGAACACGCTATTATCAAGAAGCCCGCCCCCCCCCCCCCACCCCACCACACCTCGCTCTTGTTGGCAGCACCTGGAACACGCCATTCCCCACCCACCCCAGCACATCCCAGTGTTGTTCGGGGAGCAGGTCCTTTCCAGCCCTGTTGCTGAGCAGCACCCCCCGCTCACTGGTAACTATTTCCCCAAAATCAAGACTCACATGTAACTACAGTCACAAGTGAGCCAGCCCCCAAAAAAAAGACGCAAGTGAGTTTTTGAACCCCTCTCGAGCGGGAGCTGTTTTTTTTTAGAATATAGTCGGAAGTGAGTTTTAAAACAGTCAGAAGTGAGAAGATTTGTCACAAGTGAGCGGTTGGCCCAAACGAGAGTACACCCGACCTTACCTTACAGTGTCTCTAATCACGGCCCGGCGTTGTGCTGACGGGAGGTGCGGATGTGCGACATGTCACAGGTACCCAGTTGCGCAGGCGCCGGTGCTCCACCGCTACTGCAGGGATTCAGCAAGCCAGGCGCCGAGAGAACCGAGCTGTTGCCTGCGAGCCCCAGTGCGAGACATGCGTAGGCTGAAAGACTGGAAGAGTTGTTTTTTTTTTTTTTTGGGGGGGGGGGGTGCACTGCGTCACGGCGCTGACACTGCTGAGGCCTGGATTGGCTTCCTCACCTTTCGGGCCTTCGCGTTTGGGTGTTTTGCTGGCGGCGCTGGCTGCTGCAAAGCCCGCTCTCTGGAGCCGATGCTGAGCGCGAAAACACTTCTCTGAGTCTCGTGACTCTTTAGGCCTGGAGCTTCAGTGACGTCACGGTCGCTCTGCCAATGTGGAGCTATACTTCCAGTGCCAATGCTCAGAGGATTCTTCCTTGGCTAACGCGATGCTGATTGTGAAAGTGGTGGTGTACTGCCTTTGGTATTTTGGATGTAGAACTCAAGTAGACTATTTTGTGATTTTGTGCTGCTGTTGTACTGACAGGTCTCTGCTTTTGCCAAGATGGACTTAGCCTCGACACCCAGACGCTTTGCACGGCCGGAGTCGGCACCTAAGTGTGTCGTTTCCAAGCTGGGCCTCTTTTGTGGGCCCCCCCCCCCCTGCTTTTGGTCTTTTGGTGTACGTCCTCGGCTCAGGTTTCCTACACTTCCTTGTGGCTGCTCTCGACCTCCCACAACGAGTGTGTCTCGGTTAGAGCTCGACAGCCGGATGACAAAAGTGACATAAAGTGACCAGAATCACAACAGAACCCAACGAGGTGATGGGTCATGTTCAGCTTGACTCCACTCCCTTCTTGCACAGCATGTTCTGCATGGACTTTCCACCTCCTGTGTCCGGGCCCCAATACGCAGGGGGCGCTTTGCACACAAGACCTGCATAAGCGTTTCGTCTACGCGTGCCCAAGGCTGGATTTTTTGCACCTTGGCACGGTGCTGCTTTCGCGAAGCTTTACAAAGATGGGTTCGCCGCTCATTGTGCCGGGGCCCCACCACCGGAGGTTGTTTTCTTTCTTTCTCGTTGTTTGTTTTGTTTTTACCCGTCGCTCGCTCTCTCTCTCTCTCTCTCCAGAGTCTTCCTTCCTCTTCTCATCAAGGTGGTTTCTGTTTTTGTCATGTCTCTTCTCATCTTTGGGAAGTGTCAGGTTCGGACAGGGCCGCCCTGGGAGCTCAGCCTCCGCCTTCGACGCCGTCGCTCCAGGAACGGACATTTGCACTGCTCGGAGCTGGTGACCAGCTGGTGCTTGTGTCAACAGTCACTCAAGCATTCACAAAAAAAACTATTAGCTGCTTTCTCTTTTTCTCCTGTAGTGGAGTCGCTGACATGAGACTCCAAGACTCCGCGCACCTTCGCCGCTTCCCCTTCACGCGCGGATCCGCGAGGAGCCACGATGAGCGTTCTTAAAGTCTTAACAAAACCCAGCGCCCCCGCAAATGTGGACCGCGCCATGGCGTCTCTCGCGAATTTCACAAAACCTTTGACATGCCACTCGAAAAGTTGGGGCAAGTTTGCTGAAACCGCTAACCCGTCAACCCTTCCCCCGCTTCTTGGCATCGCCTCCAAAGCGGCATCGGTTCTTGTTGGCGTCACATCGTGCGCATGGGTATCGTCGCCGACAGAGTCGTGACGTGCAGGGCGTTGCTTTTCTCAGTGGTGCGTATTCCGTAGGATGATGAAACATATTGAAACATGCAACAGGCTTACAGCTGCAGTGGTCCGCTTTGTCGTACTCGCGTCTTCGCGGTGTGTCGGTTCAGCCTTCTTTGAGTCTTTTGGTCTTTTGGTCTTTGTCCCGGTGGCGCTCTCAGAGAGATTTTTACGTTTCTGCTCAGGCGCAACGCTTGCAATCCGCGGCGCGCTGAAACAGACGAGTCCTGGGCCTTAGAACGTTTCAGAGGGCTTCAGACCCTTCAGACCCTTTCAGCTCACTGTTGCCTGCTCACAGTTTCAAGACACACTCAACACTTTGCCCTTCAAATGATGTTTGTTGTGTGTTTTTTTCGAATTCATGTGGTTTTTCGAAATCATGTAACAGAAACAGTGATTCTCTTTAACTTGTTGTTGTCATTGAAAGACCTCTTTCTCTTTTCTTGTCTGTTCCTTTTGAATCATTTCTTCCCTGTCTCTGAGGCCTCGATGTAGCCGGCTCCGGCGTCCTCGGGGGCTACTTCCCTGTCGCAGGTGCGCCGAGAGAACTCTGCAGATGCTTCTAGAACAGAACGAGAAGAAAGAGACTTCTCTCTCAGCTCTTTCTCTTCCTCTTTCCTTGACCTCCTTTCCTTACCTTCTGTTCTTCTAGGATTGAATTCCTCTCCTTCCTTCCCTGCCTCCTTTGGGAGGCTACGCGCATGCGGGCCCCTCGCCCCTGGCGCACTCCTTCGCAAGGCCAAAAGAGAGTTGAAGGAGAGAGAGAGAGAGAGAGAGAGAGAGAGAGAGCGAGACAAGCACATCCTGGTGAAGAACGGATCTGACTACGAATGCCGGTGACCTCTACAACCCAGGGGGGCCAATGGTTACTCAGGTAGCGGGGGCCAGCTAGTCTTCTGTTTTTCGGGGAGGAGTGAACCAACTCAGCCCCCAGAGAGGGAAATGCACCCTTGGACCCTGGACGAAGCAGCGGGCCGTCGTGGCCGGTATCCGCTCTTCAGGGTGCCTTCGCTGTGTAGAAGAAGGAGAGAGAGACTTTGTGAGAGCTTCGCTGGTGAGCTGAACTGCCCTTTGCCCACTCTGTGCTAAAGAGGCTGGGCCCGACTCCTTTCGTCTTATCTGCGGGCCGCTTTGGTGCGCTCCCGCTGCCGCAGAGCTCCGCTTGTCTTGGCCAGGGTCTCATTTCACTGAGAGAGGAGGGAGAGCGGAGATTTGGCCCCCGGCTCTTGAAAAATGTTCTTCCTGAGTCCTCGTCATAGACGCGCCTGCAGGCTTCCTCACACCTGTTCTCTCCTCCGTGCAGCTGGGAACATCCTTGCTCCCCCGAAGGCTCTGGATCTTGTGTTCTTTTTGCTTGCGAGAGCGCCCTGGGGCAGAAGATGTCAGGATGAATTGACCAGAGCCGCCAGCAGCCGTTCTTGGCATAGCCTACACGGAAGCTGCAATGCTGGTGCTGGATCTCTTACAGCTGGAGCCTCAGTGTGACCAAACCCTCGAAAAAATGGCTTGGGAAGCCCGCGCCTTAGCTCTCTGCCAGGAGAGAGCTGTGTCCACAGCTGTTGGGCTTTTTTGCTGTGTCCAGAGCGCTGCTCTGGCTTCTGGCTTCCTTCAGTGCTTCTCCCCCTTTTTGCGCGTGCCCCGTTCTCAGTCTCGGATCGCCTCCGCTCCTCCGATCGCCTGCACGCTGCGGGGCTGCGCTGCCTGCGGCGGCCTCAGAGTGCTCGCTTAGAGGCTTTGCTTCCTTAGAGTGCTCTCTCTCTCTCTCTCTCTCAGATTTCTCTCTCAGATTTCTCTCTGTCACCGGCTATCTGTGTCAGGTCTCAGGGTGGTTGTTTAGCGCCCCCCCCTTTTTTTCAGAGCCTTAGGTGGAAGTGTGGAGTGGTTTGTCTACATTCGGGTTTTGCGGCGTGCTGGTGATGCCAGCAATCAATCGGGGTTGAGAGTATTTTGCTTTGCCTCGGTCATGTTTCATGATCTGAGACAACGACTGCAAAATAAAGCCAAAGACGCAGCGCAACAGCGGACAGCGCCTACAGCCCTCGCCCATCCTTTTCTGCAAGAATACTTCGCGGGTAGCCACTGCTGTTGAAGTTCAAACCAAGTTGAAGACAACATCTCCTGAGCTGAGGCCATGTATCATGTTGTGTAAGAAGTTGGCAAAGGCTGTGTGATCTGCTTGAGGCCCTTGCGATTGACAGAGTCTAGCTACCAGCACGCGCATTGAACTCGAAGGCTCTGCTCGGATCTTCTGAAGGATGCACAGAATTTGCTTCACTGATTGCCGTCACTTGGAGTTGCGGTGCCCCAAAGGCCAACTCACAAGTGAGGGATGATTGGATGATTCGGAACTGGGTCTGAAGATCTGAGGATAGCCTAGGAATTCGTGAGCCTTGACCTAGGCGGCCGGCTTTGCTTCCATTTCTTCATCTTTGCCCCTTCGTTGCCTTGCTCGAAGCGAGTTCTTTCCTTAGAGCGGGGTGAGACTTGTGCGCAACGGACTTTTTTTGAAAGCGTTTACCATGTAGGCTGCTGTAGGCTGCTGTAGGCTGCTTGTCACGGCGGTTGCACCTCTTGGTGTTGTAACAACTTGGTGTTCCCTCGGGTCGTCGACCCGTCCTTTGAGGTCACTGTTGCCTTCGATGGGCAGAATGTGGTCGGGATCACCGGCTTCAGCATGTTGCTTAGAAATTCGCTTCGAGAGCGCTTAGCGCCACAGGTGCTTATCGTGCTGGCCCAATTTGGAGCCGCTCTCCATGTTCTATGTGTGCTTCTCCACCTCTCTTTCTCTCTCTTTCTCTCTCTTTCCCTCTCTTTCCCACTCTCTCTTTCTCTTTCCCTTGTCCCCTCTCCGAAAGTTGAGAAGGGTCTGCAGAATTTTTGCGGAGAGGTCGCCGACTTGGCTGGTCCTGGTGCTCCTCCTCCCGCCCGGAGCTCCTCACAGCCGCTCTGCAGACATCAAGAGCGCGGGGAAGAAAGCGAAGCAAGAGAGAGAAAGAGAGATACAGAGAGAGGACGACTTTGGAGCGAGAGGGAGGGGGGGCTCTTCTCTCCAGGTCGGAGCTTCTGCTGCCGGCCCCCAGCGCGTCACTCCTTGGCTTGCCGACACTCCTGAGACGTCCCTCGGGGGCTGAGCCTTTGGGAAGAGAGAGGGAGGGAGAGACTGAGAGAAGAGAGAAGTTAGAAGAGAAGTGAGAAAAAATTGTGATGCCTTGAAGTGGGGACTAACTTTCTCAATGTTTTGTGGAGAGTGCTCTTCTTTTTTGCTCCCCCTCTCCCTCTCCCTCTCCCTCTCCCTCTCCCTCTCCCTCTCCCTCTCCCTCTCCCTCTCCCTCTCCCTCTCCCTCTCCCTCCACTCCCCTCCCTCCCTGCTTCCCTCTCTCTCTCTCTCTCTCTCTCTCTCTCTCTCTCTCTCTTCTTCCCTCTATATAAGTATATATATATACCTATATATCTCTCTCTCTCTCTCTCTGTCGCAGTGAGGCTCTTCGCGGCCGGATGCCTTGGCACCGCTCCTTGGAATCGCCTGCCTTGAGCGCGGCTCTTAGAGAGCCTCTCTCTATGTTGTTTCGACAAGCCCCCCCCCCCTTTCGGCTCACTGCTTTGAACCTCTTCTTGTTACCCCTTGGTTTTGTTTGACTTTTTGTTTGGTCTCGGGCAATCATTAAATCACAGAGGAAGCAGCGTTGATGACTGAATGCTCTTGGTGCCAAGAAAGATGTTAAGGCAAGCGTTGCTTCACTTCGAAAAGGATTTTGTCCAAGATGTGCTCTTTAAATTGAAACCGCGCAGAATCGAAAGCTGTCCATGATGACAAAACATCCAAGTCCGCCATAGGGTGCAGGGTTAGGGTTTGGGGCTTCGGGTCTGGGGTTTAGGTGATAGCAGGGATTTCTTGAATGGGTATGGCGGGAGGAGTTCTAGTTAGACATAGTTCAGAGGCAGAATGCAGAGAAAGCAGCGATGTCTTACGAAGCTCCGAAGAGAGGCTGCCGGCGCCTGCTGCTGGCTTCCAGCACTGCGGGTCGCCGCCATCGCCGGGGGCCTGGAGAGTGCAGAGCGCCACATGGGGAGAGAGAGAGAGAGAGAGCGCAAAGACCCGGCAACGACTCACGTGTTGCTTCTTTGGACCATTTGAGTTTCCCACGTTCTTGTTTCAAAGGGAGCGCAAAGGGGAGCCCCCTTGTTTCTCTGCAGTAGTCTGTAGATTCTGTAGCGCGCCTGAGATGTTCTGAGGTCGCAGAGCTCCGGGAAGCTGGGCTCCCTGATGCTCACCTTGGCTTTCGCAAAAGCAGGCAAGCGCAATTGAAAGCGACTCCAGACGACCTGACGTGTTGAGATCAGTAAAGTAGGATCAACGTACAGAACAAGTGCAGAGCTCAAGAAAATGGAGCAGGGGGCGTCAGGGCTTGAAATGAAGGCCCCTCAAAAGTAAGAGGGGAAGCACTGCAGCATGCCACTGCAGCATCGCAGCAGCACGGAGTTCTCGCATCTGTCCTCTCACCATCTCTCGCTGCAGAGGCCTCCCGCCGCCCTTGAGGCGCGAAGAAAGTTTTGCTCGCAGATCTCGCAGATTTCGCAGAAGAGACCTTCTAATGTTGGACCTGCTTTAATCAGTTACCCCCCCCCCTCCCCCCCCCCGCCCTCAACAGTCGCGACCCTGAATAAAAAAAGACCCCAAACAGTCGGGGGGGGTGGGGGGGGGGCAGAGAAATGAGCTCTCTTCTTAGTTTGGGATCTGGGAACTTGACTCAAAAACCATTTAAAAAAACAGGCCCGGCCCGAAATCTTTTCATTATAGCGGACCCCCAAAACAAAGGGTCCAGATCCTGAATAGCCGGAAAACTTTTCATAATAGCGTCCCCCTAGAATATTGCGGGTGCAACATTACCGCTCTCTTTGCTTTGAAAGCCGGTGCTTAAGAAGCCGGCTTCAAAAGCTTTTGGGCACTTTGTGAGAGAGGGCGGTGCGACGCAGGTCATTGAGTCGGTCAGACCTTCCAGTGACAGCTGCATGCGTGGGGAGATCCGATCTTTCATCGCCCGTCTCAGATCTTCTCCTCTTAGGCCTTGAGCTCAGTACAGCTCAGTACAGCTCAGTCCTTTTGGGACAGATGTGTAAAGTCCATTCATGCTATTGGTGCTATTGGTGCTATTGGTGCTCCGCGCTGTGCCCCTGTGTCCCTGAGGCACGTCTCTGTTTCTCAGGGCCTCTTCCTGGATGGGGAGTTCGGCGAGCTTAGCCGGTGGTGTTCGAACTGGAGGGCCCGGCGTTGCTGTGAGATTCATTATGCGTCATTATGTCATTCTGCGTCATGCCGAGAGCTCTGCTACGTTGCTCTCCAGCTTGAGTGCGCCAGGCAATGTCTTGCAGTTTGTGGCTCAGCAAATGCCGGCTCACCTTTGTTGACACGGTCACTCGCGTGCAGGGGACTCAGACGGCTTTTGCATCAAGCCGGGCAATGTGCTGACACAACTTGGAGGTACGGGTTTCGTCATGACTGCCTTGGGAATGCATCAGCTGGACTTCTTGCCATTGCCACAATCTTTCTCATGCAGCGGCCTTACGGGACGTGGAATGTTTAAGTATATGCCTAGGGAACAGCAAAATCCAGAAAATGTCCTGTGTTTTGAGAGAGACTGATGTGATCTCTCGTGCCCTCCGAGGCTCTGACTTGGCAACGTTGGCGTTTGACTTGACTCACCCGGGCTTGCCTCTGCCAATACGAGGCAGAGACAAATGGTTAGTGCTGTTGTTGCTTTATTTGCAGTGTTGCATTTTTTCAACTACTCTCCCCTGGAGCCAGGTCTTGCCTGCTGTGGGGCAACGACCTCTGTCTTCAGTAAGGTGGGGAGCGCGCTTTTTTCGCTTGTGAAAGCATCTTTTTGCACTTCCCAGTTAAGAGGAGGGCTCTCTGGTGTTCATCTTGCAGCAAGGTGCACTTCACGTATACCAACACCTACATCACTTCGGAATCCTCCACCACCAATCAGCTTCAGTTTTATGCTGCTGGGCATATCGTATGTCGCCACGTGCCTCTTCCCTGACTTTCTTGATTGCCTCGAATTATTACTTGATTCATTACTTGAGAGACTTGAGAGGTGACTTCGGGCAGCGGGTTTAGCGTGCGATGCATCAGGTCAACAACCAGCGCTCGCTGACATTGATGCAAAAGCCGACGGGAGTTTCAACCGGGAACGTTGGCGGAGCACTGCATGGACTTTGGCAGCTTGACAGAGACAAACAACAATACAAGTAATTATACCGAAAGTGTTACAAACGTATTTGTTTCATTACCTGTTAATGTAGATGTTTCCCCAAACACGAAAACAGACTCATGCCGTGCGTGGTCAGGGACAAGTCGCAGTTTTCCGCAAACCTACAACACTCGCACTAATTTAATCTTCCGTGCGTCAAAAGTCTCTTGAAATGAAATCCAATACCCGCTACAATCGCTGTATTCGGATAAAATGTGGATGTTTCGTGCATGGGTTCACTGACAACAGTCGCATTTTTCTGTGCTTCACGGTACTTTACAATGACTGCAGTAGGACAAGTCCTGCCCTTTTACTCGTGCACGGGTTCGCGGAAAAAGTCTCGTTCAAATCTTCAATCTCTTTGCAGGCTCTATGTGACTGGGACAATGCTCATGTTTTGCGCATGGGTTCAGGGAGCGTTTTTTCTTGCATTGGCATGCTTCTCACATTACCAAATCGAGAGCCACATTTTCAAATGTGGGGAGGATCCAGGATTCAAGATTCCACTCCAAGAGTCCCCTTAACAACTCTTGGCACATGGATCCTCCATTACTTGTGAACTCAAGTGTACCCCGCAACGTGAATTAGGGGTTCTCAAGGTTGTCCTTGACACAGGGGGGGGGGGGGGGGGGGGGGGGGGGGGGGCGTGCCCCACATGCGCATTAGTCTGTTCTAGGTACAGAAAAAATTGCCACTGACTGGTGGGGTTTGATGTGAGGTATGCTGACCACATGTTGCACATCTCTGACCGTCGGCTGAAGAAGAGCATCCACCCCTTGGCCAGTCGGTGTTGATCTCTCTTTCTCTGCACCAAAAAGATTCCCTAACTGTTTTGGCCTGACAATTTTCCTTCTCGCTCTCTCCTTTTGCACGTCAGGCCGCGGGCCTCGACGAGAAGGCCTCAGCTGCAGGCGCTGTAAGAGGGCAGAATAATTACGCTCTCTTTGTTTGCTCAGTCTCGCTCTCTCGGTTTCCGTTCGAGCGAAGCGGTGAAGCGGTGAAGCGAGCACTCGTATCATTGCTCGCTTTGTCGCTTTGTCTCTCTCTATATCCTCTCTATATCCTGTCCTTCAGGTGCGTTCGCCAGTGACGGTCAAGGAGCTGTCGGGGGCCCACCAAAAGAATATTATGCCAAGTTGCTCCAAGACTTTTTCATGACATTCCATGACAGCTCTCCATGAAAGCTTCTCACGGTGCTGAGCCAAGGCCTGGATCCTGCGGCAGCTGCGACCGGTGTCCTACTACTTCAAGCCACAGCCTGAAAGGGGAGATCGCCCCCGTATGTCAATGTCTGTGCTTTGTCGCATCACTGCATCTTTTCGCCGTTGTTCCCCAGTTCACTCAGAGCACTGCAAGAGTCCTAGAGAGGCGCGACACCGAAGCCAAGCATCCGCGTTTCGGATTCATTGCGGATGAGGTGGCGGAAACCCTGCCGGAGGTGCTTCTAGCGTGGGCTTTGAGAAAACGTAGAGTGGAGACTCTTGAGCGGAGGTTATCCAGGAGTCGACGGACGAGCAGAAGATCAAGGGTATTGCCTACCAGGAGAGCCATGGAGAGCCATGGAGAGCCTGAAAGAAGGGAACCTCTCTGAAACTTCTGAAACTTGGCATCTCAGCTCTGGCTGATGATCGAGAGAATTGTTTTAAGAGGCTTTGAGCTAAGCTTCTCTGTGTTTTCCGGAAACCATGGGTCACTTAAGAAACTTGGCCTGGAAAGGTGGTAGCAGCCGAGCTCGGCTTTGAGTTGGCTCCCGGATTCATGCCTTGTTCTGCCGTGTGGAATTGAGCTCAGAGCTCAGCAGGGAGCTCTCGACCAGAAGGGAGGAACTCCAGCTTGAGTTCAAAACAGGACAAACCATCTACTAGCAAGTGCTTCTCCTTTTTCAAATTGGGACGTGAGCCAAACAAGGACATGGCCCTCGACGAGGAGATCACCTTCCTGCCATATGCACGAAGCATTGTGAAGAACGCCCCCGGACACGACCCCAACAGAAGCAGACCACGAGAGGCTCTCCTTCTCTAGACAAACTAAAAAAGCAGGAAGGAGAAGCACAGCACAGAGCAGAGGACACCCGAGGAACAATTGCTCTCTGAGAGCCGAAGAGAGCAAGAAGAGGAGCTCTCGGAATCGGAGAAGCGTTCTCTCTTTTGAGAAGGTGAGAAGGAGAGGGGGAGGAGGAGGTGTGTGGGGGGGGGGGGGGGGGCATCAGCATACTATACTATTACTACAGAACAAAAGCATCGGAGAGCATCCCATTGGGTTCTCTTTCTCTCTCTATCCTTGTTTGTCCTTTCAGAATTTCATGATGACTTCAAAAATTTGTTTATGTTTCTTACTCCTTGCTTTGTCCCAAGGCGTGCGCGAGAGCGCGAGGCCAACACTTAAGTAGAGCTTTAAAACATCTCTGATGGCAGCCAACAGCAGCCTTTCTTTTTTTTCTTGGGGGGGGGAGCACGAAAATTTCTGGTTGTCTTAGCAGATGCACATTTTTTCTCCTCCAGAGTCCTGTGGGACGAAGAAGGAGAAGAGCCAGGAGGGAAGCTTGTTAGACCGGGTGAGACTTTAGAGATCGTGAGCCGTGTCGAAGTTTATAAAGCCTCAGGCGATTCCCAGCTGGTGCCCTGCTCAGCTGGGACAAGCTGGGACTCACTTCACCCCAACTGCCACTGCCCCCCATATGCTTAATTGAGAGAGCAACTGGAGAGCGAAAGCGCATCTGTTGAGGTCAAAAAGGAGACTCCGGAAGACTCAGATTGGACCGAGGTGTAAATGCCTGAAGCACGAAGTGTCCACAGCTCCTCAGGCATGAGCAAAGAGGGCAAACCAACAAAAACCAGTTTCGCGACGAAGCTCTGTGAGCTGTTCATGAGGAATCTAGATCTAGGAGGGGAGCGCCATGTGGAACAAGGCAGTTTCTCATTGCATCTGCACCTCGTAAAATGCTGGGCCCGCTGGGCCATGATCAGGACCTGATCGCCGTCATGGTGGCGGGGGTTCAGCGCTTCAGAAGCAGTAAAGACGTCACATGTTTTTTTCATTGATCTTGTTGGGCTTCAGTCTTCCGACAGCAAAGCCCGCCGCTGTGCCGCTGTGATGGGTTTGTGAAGTGCGGAGGTCTTTGACCTCTCGCCTGGACAGAGCCGAAATCTTCGCACGTGCGATGACGGCTCGGCAGAGGTCTCGGTGATTGTACTGGTAGCTGCCGACTTCCACGATGGCATTGCACCCCCGTTGCACTTCCTGAAACTCGTTGCCAAGGCTCACGAGCCTGGAGCACGGATTTGCGCAGCTGAAGGCCAGACTCTCGCCAGATTTTCACGAGATTTTCACGACGCAGATGAATGCAGATGAATGCAGATCACCTCGATCATGTTCTCTCGTGCCTGTCGTTTTTTGGGGGCCTTTTGAGCATCCTAGCAACGTTATGAAATCTTGTGAAGTCTCTCTCGTCCCCTCGTGAGGACTCCATGTCACAGTGCTTGGACCTGGAGGCGAAGAGAGAGAGAGAGAGCGCGAGAAAGAGACAGAGCGAGAACTGGGAGAGATCGCCATTTTTTTGGGGGGGGGCTTTTTGCTTTCTCTCACTGTTTAAGATGGCTTTTGCCTGAGAGGCTCGGCTGCGCTCGGTCGAGTCCTGGAAAAGTCCCTCGGCTCAAGAGAAGGAATGCCGTATGCTGGCGTGCTCGCAACAGAAAGGAACAAGCACACTCTTTGCAAGGCAACGAAGCTCTCTCTCTCTCTTTCAAGGAAAAAAGGGTAGAGAGTGGAGAGGGGGTCTCCTTTCTCTTTGCTCCTTCTTTGCATCTTCAATCAGTCAAGGAATGGTCCGCGAAGCACACCACTAGCAGATGAGCGCGCCGTTGAAAGAGGTGGCGGGGAACTCAATTTCAGACGCCTTTGCGAGTGGCAGTTTTCGGCACTGTTCAGCGTATCAGTTTGACAGGCAGGGGACGTCTCAGACGTCTTCTGAGAGAAGGGTGGACCTGATGCTGGAGGAGAGATTCGACCAGAAATGTTCTCCCTGAAAACAGATTCCATGAGAATGAGCGGATCCAGCGCTTTATTTCAGCCCTGTCTCTCTGAACAATCGGAAGGCCGCTTCACCAGAAGCTTAGCTCTACGATGAGCAGACAAGGCGCCCCGGGAAGAGCAATGAGAACTTGAGAATACTTGAACTACGGGAACTGTGGAAGAGTCTTTTGTTGTTGCACCATGTTGCACTCTCCGATCTCTTTGCTCATCAGAAGGGGGTGCGACCTATCCCATCCTGAATTCGCTCCGCTCTCCACTGTGCAACCCCAGAGTCCGTCCGCTCTTGCCAGGGCCTCTTGGGGAGCGTCTTCGAGAAGTCCCTGGAGGAGAGCGAACCTGAGGGAGCTCTTTGAGTTGTGAGTGTGGCCTATTGTGGACTGGTGTGATTTGAGGTGGGGGGTTCTGAATGCGCCTTTGTGACGGAGGAAACTGAAACTCGCGCAGCTTGAAGAACAACGCCACCAAGCACTCCAAGTCACAGCGGAGAACTGCACACAGCCAACAAATTCAGGCGGGCACGAAGGAAGATCACCAGCGCGAACACTGAGACCGCCCAGCATCGACGTCAAAGAACGCGGCAAAGCCGCAGCAGCAGGACCGACGTGCCAAAGAGGAAAAGCGCAGCAGCGTTTGCACGACCTTCGGCAACAGCTGAGGTCGATCTGGAAGCACCTCTTAAGTCTATGTTGGGGTCCTCATCCCTGTTTAACCCTATTTAACCCTATGGCCCCAGATAAAAGAAAGCGAGCCGAGTTTTCTCGTGTTCCCCGATTACGGGAGAACCCACCCTCAAAGGTACAATGTCAAACGTCGTCGGCCTGGGCCTCCGGGCTTTTGATGGTGTCTGTAGGTACACTGTAGGTACACTTGTGTGACTTCCTGTAACTTTGTGTTACTTTTGTACATGGCGACTCACTTAAAGCACCGCTTCGCTTAAACCTCTGACTTTGACGTCACATCATCGGCCCAACGAGGCATAAGCCTTTTGCTGAATATGCACAGAAGGAAGACGTTGCCATGTGTAACGTCAGACATCTTCCATCTTGTATGGTGTACGGAATAGCTAGAGACCAGAATGGATGTTTGTTGCTTCGCTTTGCTTCTTCGTTCCACTTTGAAGCATGCAGTGAGAGAACTGGACCCACAGTATCTGCCCTTGCGGCTGAAAGAATACCGCGTGCACCAACTTCGACTTCACAGGATGCTGCCTGTTCAACAGTGAGGGTAAAGAGAGTGGGGAATAGGCGGCAAAACAACAGATCGTGCACTTTAAGGCCTGCAAAGCACAAGAGAAGCAAGCCAAGACCTTAAACGCCCTGCAAAAATCAACGAAAGCGAGAAGCAGAACCCACGAAGCCGAAATTTAAATTAGAAGGAAATTACACGTGTGAAGTGAGGTTCCTTCTTACTACACGCGAGCCACCGCGTGCGAGCCACCGCGCGCGAGCCACCGCGCGCGAGCCACCGTACGCGAGCCACCGCACGCGAGCCACCGCACGCGAGCCACCGCACCTAAATCGGTCGGGGCAACCATTGACAACGCAGGAACCTGAAGGTTTGTTGCAAACCGCACGCGAGCCACCGCACGCGAGCCACCGCAGGCGAGCCACCGCATGCGAGCCACCGCGCGCGAGCCACTGCGCACGAGCCACTGCGCGCGAGCCACCGCACCAAAAGTGGCTGAGCAACAATTAAATGACAACACAAGAACCCAAAGCTTTGCTCCAGCCAGACTTCATGTAACCCTATAAGGAGTTTGCCCGGTATTCACACACGCAATACAGGAACTGGTGAACCACCGCACGCGAGCACGGTGGGGCAGCGGGAAACAAACCAGCCCGCCATGCCTTACCCTTAGTAGCTCCGCAGTGGTCGGTAGGCGCACCTCCCAGGCCAAATGCCTTTCTGACTTCAGGTCACCCGCCACTTAGGGTTTCCGGCACCTCAGAAGTAGGGGCGTGTTGTCCCCGGCGCTCTCTTTCCCCAGGCCTCAGAAGTAGGAACAGGCTTTGCAGATGACACTTGCCGTTGAACATATGCGGAATCTGCTGTGCAAGTATCCTGTACCAGCATAGTACTGAGACAGGTGTTTTCTTGTCACGTCTTCCTCACAAGTCGGGCGGCGTGCCTTCTTGAGCCTACACACTGGCCCTGCCGATCTCGGATTACTGCCATGCCAATGACACTGATAAACACACCGAACCCAAAACCAGGGAAAACACAATGAAAAATCGGACTCTCCACACGGCGGCAGGAACGAGGCACTCAAGGGATTGGAGCATGTTTAGCCTTGATCGAGTCTCATTGCGGTTTTGTGGAATGTTGTAGTATAGTGTAGTAAGTTAAAGCAGTGCAATGATGTACTGGACTATTGCTCCAAGCGATGTTAAAGCAGACCAGACTAGATTGTGTACTATCCGATGCCATCTAGTCTAGGACTACAGATTGGCCGTTGGGCTTAGGAATGGATGTCGAGAATATGTACCAAATTCACAAATCGCAAGCAGTGTCTTCCCTTCGTTTTTTCTGAAAGAGTATGT